TGAGTTGCCGCCATGTGATTGGCTGATTAGAAATTAAGTGTTAACGAGCAGTTGGACAGGTGTACCTAATAAAGTGGCCGGTGAGTGTACATTCATATGTATTACAAAAATTTGATGTCGCAGGCACTTTAATGTCCACCGTAGTGGAAATTTTTCTTTAGCTCACCAGACATGTAATTTATTTTAAAATAATAATAATAAATTTAACACACTCATACAAAAATTTAAACCACCTCTATCCCCAGCAGCTCAGTCAGATATACATGTTATATTTTAGTTTGATTGAGAGTAGTGTTGGCGTTTGGAACAAAAAATAAAAAAAATACTTCTTGCCAGAGGAAGAAAGTTGAAAGATGATGTGATTACATCACACAGGCAGGAGTCAGCAAGAGGCTGCAGAGGTCAAAGTAGATCAGTAGCAACTTAAATGTTTGTACAAAAGCTGAGGCAATAATATATTTACAAAAAACATGTGACGGCCATGTATTTGTTGAATGCTACTAATATTCTTGTCTAATACACTGAACCTTAGTAAAAAGGCTGTAAAGAAACTGCAAATTTTGGCCAATGTAATTTGACTTTTTCTGCCGCAATTTATCATTAAGTTTTTCTTTTTTTTTTCTTTTGTGTTGACACTGAAGTTTTTACTTATTGAAAAATATCTGGATTTTAGTTTGTTGTTCCGGAAGCGTACAAACTGCATTTATGTTTTTTTTTTCACAGCTGAGACTCCCATTGAAGAGTTCACCCCCACCCCAGCGTTCCCTGCCCTGCAGTATTTGGAGTCTGTGGACGTGGAGGGAGTGGCCTGGAGGGCTGGTCTCAGGACAGGGGACTTCCTTATTGAGGTATTTAAGAACAGCTCACAACAAACAACTTAATCCGTATGAATCTGACTGTTAAACAGGAGGGGGTGTCTGAAAACAGAGACAAAACAGCTGCAGAGTTAGTCTGCAGATGTTAGGGGTGTGTTCTGCCTGACGAGTTGTTAAAAACTTTTAATAAGGCAATAAATGTGTCAAATATTTGTGCGACTGTGAAGTTTGATTGTGTGAGATTACCAGAATTTGATGTGCTTTTAATGTAAAGCAGCGCAGTAATGACATTTCATACTTGTCATTTTGTCTCGTTGTGTTGTGTTCAGGTGAACGGGGTGAATGTGGTGAAGGTGGGCCATAAGCAGGTGGTGTCTTTAATACGGCAGGGGGGCAGCAGGCTCCTGATGAAGGTTGTTTCTGTCACACGCAAACCTGAATCTGAAGAAGTCGTTCGCAAAAAAGGTAAAGACAGAAAAAAAAACAGAAATTCTTTCTTCATGTCAACATTTTTTAAATAACTGTGTTGATATTTTACTTTGGATAAGATTAGTTGATAGTTTATGTTAAAAAAGGAAAAAAATGTTTTCAATGAAAAAAGGTGTGAAATGCTGCATTTGTGATTTCTGCAAAGCACATCCATCAATCAACTAGTCTCCCTTCACACTTGATGACGACCCCCGTGCGTGACCTACATAACCTCTTAAACGTGCCTTCATCGTGACAAATCTGGAAAAGTGCCTTCGGTGTGAAGGCATTCAAGATGCTGCTATGCCCTTAGTTCTTGTCAAACAGATTTCCCCTGCCATTTTCCATGTTCCCCAAACTCTCTCTTACACTATTACCACGCTTCATAAACCCACCCTGGCATGACTCTCTCTTAAACCACATCAGTAAGCAGCTACAGGTATCACATCTGCAGTGGGTTGTTTCCATGACCTTGTCAGGGATCATAGTGGAAACCTTGACATGAGATCTGCTTCAAATTCCCAGTGATCGGGTAAAACCGGTGCACGTTGGCCCCACTTGACAAATAGGCTGCCACGCTCCACCCAGAACCTCAATATGGTGCCGTAGCAATAAGAAACCATCATGAAACCACCTTGCCTTGGAGGTTTTGTGTGCAAGCTCGAGCATCTTGTGAACCTCTCATAATACAATGTGCAAAATAGGGAGTCCAGTAAATTCTTAAACTCGAAGGCTTAGCCAAGACCAGTGTTGTTTTCGTTAACGATGACGAAATATTTTCATTGACGCCCCCTTTTTTCATGACGTTAACGAGACGGTAACGAAATAAACATAGCTCTTTGATGACTAAGACGTGACGAAACGTGTGTGAGTTTTCGTTGATGAGACTGTAATGAAAACGTTAGTCGGTGGTCTGTCAATCCTTTAGAATAGAGTGGAGGGAGGGACAGCAGCGCTGTCACACACACACGCACACACAGCAGCACAGAGCATTTCCTCCCATTCCCTCACACCCTGTGCCGCTTAAAAAGTTTGTCCGTCACCTGTAGCTTAACCAGGGAGTAACATCTCCACCATTATTAAAAGCTGTCGCAGGTCCATTCTGAGCTCTGAAGCTGTTTGTTCACGTTCATGACGAAAGTAAAACTCTTCTCTGTGTTTATTTATTTATTTTTTGGCCGGGGGGGGATTAGCAACTGTGCATGTCAGTGCTTCTGCTCTGAATAAAAGCCTGGTGCATGTAAACACTCGTTTGCACAACTTTAATAGTCTACTAAGTTTAGGACCGCATGGTGTCTGTTTTTATAAATAAGATGCATTTTCATCGTCCTGGCTGACAAGTTTGAGTTGAACATGTGTGTTCCCCTTTCTTGCTTATAATATTGGGCATGTGTATTGTGTGTGTTCATTGCACTTTAGCAAATTCTGAGAATTAAAGCCACAAAGTGAGAACGTTTTTGTTTTGCGCATCTTTAGAGTAACACAAATTACACAAATTCACAAATGTTAACACAAATTACTCAAATTAATTTGTAAAGACTAATATGTTGTCTTTTTTTAAGACTAAAAACTAAACAATTTTTTTAAGTTTCCGTCAACTAAAACTGGACTAAAACCATTAAATATAGAAATAACTAAAACTGACTAAAACTAATAAGTATTTTTTGTTCAAAAGACTAAGACTAAAGTTAAAATGGCAGTCAAAAACACAACACTGGCCAAGACTCTACAAAGATCCTCAATGTTCTGGCCGATATTTTCAAATCGTAGCACAGTTGACATTCACTGTGAGGAAAGTCTGACACTGTTCTGTTAAGTTATTACAATGTCTTCATCATATTTTATACTTCCTCCAAGTCTTTACAGTATAATGCATGCAATGCCTTTGATAATTGTATATTTTCAATATATTTGGTACTTGTAATATAATGGGAACAATTGGGGTGTTTTTACGTACGGATTGAAACTGATGCGTTTTAGTTGCGTTAGGGATTTTTACCACTTTTCACCACTGTAAATCCATTTAGTTTCCATGTCAACCAGAGCTTGCCATTCCTCTGCTCCCACACAGTCCTGGCACACTGACCTGCGTACTCTGCAGTTGTGTGTTTCTGTGTATGTTTTGTGTGAATGTTGGAATGTGTGCGTGCAGCTTTCTTTGCGATTATTGCGATACGGAGACAGTGAGTTTGACAGAGTTGTGTTGGACGGTGCTCTGTCAGCTTAAACCTTCCACTCTGTGCTCTGTGTTAACGTCTCTTTCTGTCTGTCTTCCTCAGTCCCAGTGGCGATCACAGACTTTGGGGGAGCTCGAACAAAAAGGCATATTAAAGTCCTATAGTGTGATTTTTTTCACAATTTGCAGTGGTTTTGGAATTAGCTAAAAGTGATTTTTTTTTTGTCAGCTGATCATGTAATGGACTGGTAGCTTCTCCAAGGTATAAAGCTCTTCAAGCATGAATATAAGGCAAATAAACAGTGGAGGGATTTCCACTTACTATTGTGTAGCTGGTGTTTGTTTGTTCCTATATTGTAATTCCCTTTTTGTTTGCAGAGTGCAAAAATGGGCTTGTTGTATTGTGCGGTTTGTTACATCTTATGTTATATATGCTGCTATCACTTTTAGGGAGAGTGATGAATGTTGCAGTTTGAGAGAAACTTTTTAATTGCAAAATGTGCAACATATGCATTTTCCCAAAAGAATGAAAATCAAATCAATATTCAGTTGTAATTTTCCAAACATCATTAGGAGCTCCCCTGCCCTGCAACCGTAACAAAAGATTTTTAGTAAGAAATGTTTTTTCACTGGAAATTCTCTTAAAGGGGTGTTTCTGTCATTTTCAGGCACATAGTTCAATTCTATACCATAACCAAGTAACTGTGTTACCTTCAATTGTTATAAAAATACTGAATATTGATTTTGCATCTAACCTAAATGACTTGAAATTGGCTTCAATCTTGACAATCCCAGTTCAGCACGTCATCACAGCAATGCTTTGTGGGCAGGTTCTATGGGGTGGGGATGAGCTATGTAAAAAAAGGGCGGTGCTTTGTACCAGCAATCGTTTAGCCAACTCCAAGTGGCTACCACAGGAGATTCAAGCATAAATGAGTCAAAGCAACACTCTGGGTATGTTTTTGATGACTGAATGACATTATAGCATGCTATAAAGCTCAAAAAGCCGAATTTGCATAATACCCCCCTTTAAGGTAGCGTCTGATTCAAATGTACAAGAAATTATTTTAAAAAAGTATCTGCAAATGACTTTTTTACCACACATTTATGATGGCAGCTTCCAAATGACTTGCGACAATGATTATATTAATGTTTGGTGGTTTGGTTTTGGTGAAAATCCCTAGCAAATTGTAGAGAAAGAAAAAAGTACTAAAGCACATTCAGTGCAAATAGCTTCAGACCAGATGGGAAGTATCTGGTGTTCCAGTGGAAAAAAAAACATGTTTCTTTTTAGTTCAAAACATTTTCTTTGCTCCGTCCTTTTCCGCACCCTGTTCTGTGCTTACTGCCATTGGCTGCGACTCATCCTCTCTGCTGGGGCGAACTCACCATAATGCGCCTCACTTTTAGCCCAAAATGAGCAGACACATGCTGACACAGACTCGCAAGCAAACTCACTTTCCTCTTCATCATGCGTGGCCTCACTACCGCCGCCGTTGCCATGGTGACTACAATGCATGTTTGAATTAAGCATTACATTACAGCAAAAGCAGCGCTCTCTCTCTCTCTCTCTCTCTCTCTCTCTCTCTCTCTCTCTGTCTGAGCCTCTCTCTCTTTTTTCCATCCTCCTCTCATCTCCTCTGCTGCTTGCTTTCGCACCTCAGTGTGCAGGCTGGTGAGGAGAGGAAGATGTTTGATCTGGACAGTACTTGGATGGCGTATGTACACTGGATGTGCTGACGGCAGCAGGATAGTTTCGCTCCAGTAAGGCATTGGGGCATGTGTGCAGTCTAGAGGCTTACTGCTCTACAGTGGTGCAGTCAGTGAAAGATGGCAAACCTCAGACAGAGTGAGCTTAACTAGTTCTGTTGTGGACTTTTTGGGGGGTTTCGTTACTGTCTGACTGCATGGCATTTCGTTGTTGCTGCTGATTTAGCATGATGAAATGTAGGAAGGCATCCTTTTCACCTTAGTTAATCGCAGTATTTCTTCAGAGACTTCTTTGAAACTTGCAACTTTACATTTTGTTTTTTTAATTCAACATTTGGTTGGAATGATTTTCGGCTTTAACCAGGACAGTAACAGCTCACTTGCTTTGTGTGTGTAGCAGGACTGGAAGGCACCCAGGAGCTTTGCTAATGAAAAGTCTGCAGCACATCATTTTCCTTAGCTGTTAAATTTGCTGTCATCTCGTCGTCTGTCGCCCCGCGTGTCACGATGTCCTCCCTCAAGGAGTTTTCTTTGTGGGATGATGTGCATGGGTGTGCAGACCAGTGTGTTTGTGCATTTCTCTCCAATGCACGTCTGGTAAATTCAAGGCAAGCAGCATATTAGGGGAAAGATGAATGAGTCTCTTCTTCTCCTTTCTGCACACATTGTACTTGTTCTGTCAATTGTAGCAGACAAAATATGTTGCTGTGTGTTTAATGAGGGGATTCGAAAGGCTACATAGAAGAGTGATTTGTTTAAAATGATGCCAATGGGTTCCTCAACTGAGGCATGTTCTTTGCAGCATATAGGTTCCCAATCTGAAAGTATGTCAAGCACACTCAAAAAAATAAATCTCAAGCAAAAGGAAGAAAACATGAAGAAGTTGGGTTTCGATCAGGGCCTCAACAAGGTCATTCCCAAGCGAGAGGCTTCGACTTCATCTGACTTTGACAAACTTAAAGCAGCGAAGACCGGATGGGTTGGCCGTCTGGGAGATGTCAAGAGGGCTCTGAGTCGCAAAGCCAAAGCCTTTTCATCTCCCTCGGCTTCTTCCTCAACGCCATGCCTTTTCTTCACAGCGCCCCCTCCACCTAAGAGAGCTCCCAGCACCACCCTGACACTGCGATCCAAGTCCATGACCGCTGAACTGGAGGAGCTGGGTGAGTGCCAAAGAACTGGCATGCACGCTCAACACTCACTTCCCTTTTTTTTAATCACAGCTCTGCTTTCTCTTTGTCACTAAATTCTGGTGAATGACTATCCTAACTTTTAGAATAGTCACTTTTGTTGGCTTTTTCTTGTCTTTTTCCTCCTCTGCTGACTCTATCTTTTTCCCACCAAGCAACTGCTCGGAGGAGAAGAGGAGGTGAGTCTGAGGCTAGAAACTAACACTTCTCCGAGCGTCATAATGATGATTTATCTATGCCGTGTCATTATAAACGGTGTTAAACAGTGCAGAAGACCATAACAGAAGAACACTTGAAACGCATGGACTCTGTCTCCATCCATTTATGTCTTTCCCACTTTTGTCTCCTTTTACTTCAACCACCTACTAGGAACTCACAAGAAAAACAATATATTGAAACAAGCCATGATTTTGTGCATTACGACAAAGCATGATTTCACATTGTGGTCTCAGATTTTGCCTTTTCATCGTCTGTAGTATTCATGTTAAAAACGATAATAAAACATTTCCAGTGTTTTATATCTTAGCATTTAGTTCTGGCTCATTTTGCTCTTAACAGAGAGACTTGATGAGATGTTGGCATCACAAGAATCTATGTTGCATTCTCAACCCCCGGAGGCAGATTACAGAGCAGCCACTGTCAAACAACGGCCTACCAGCAGGAGAATAACACCAGCAGAGATCAGTGTGAGTGCACCTACACACAGCACATTTTCCAAACAGCATATCGCACCAAGCTGCTATACATAAAAGCTCAGTCTGACATTATCAAAATATCGGACCTGCACAACAGACCTTAATGTGTACATTAATACATGCACAACTGTGCTATTTATAGTATTCTCTCTTAGTTGTAAGGATTTAGTTGATTCATATTTGAAGGTGTTAAAGTTTGGGATTTTGTGTTTCAGTCACTGTTTGAGAGGCAAGGGATGACTCTACACGGAGGTCTGCACCCAGGGATTGAGAGAGGTCACATACCACTTTCTAAAGGCATGTCCAGGACCAAGTCTTTTGGTAAAACAGTCACCCACGCTGTACTTATTTAAATCAGTTAGTTAGTTAGTTAGTTAGTTAGTTAGTTAGTTAGTTAGTTAGTTAGTTAGTTAGTTAGTTAGTTAGTTAGTTAGTTAGTTAGTTAGTTAGTTAGTTAGTTAGTTAATCCATTTCTTTAAAAACAACAACATAAATTCAACAAAAATACAAATACATGAAATGAAAGGTAGCAGAAGAAGAAAAAAATCGTATTATATCTGCCCCTTTTTCTCAAATAAATAAATTCAATCAAAAATAATCTTTAGTTTAAAAAAAAGGAAGAAAAATAAAGGTTTAACTCCTTGAACAACAATTCATACATTTACATATTTCTCCAGCAAATTAACCTTTACATATAAACCTTAGATTAAACCTTCACAGGTAAATAATGTAATCTTTTTAAGATTAAATAACTGTTATTAGAATATTTTTGCTGCAATTTAAAGAAAGCTAAAAGGTTATTTGAAAAATAATCTTTACAGTTGGATGCATTAGTACAATATGTTTTCCATGCAACAACTGTGAACCTAGTACAGTGGAATAAAGTGTTGTTTTTCTTTTATTATTTCACTCCTCATTTCTGTGCTCTACCCTTACTCATCAGGTGCCACAGAGGAGGATCGATTGTCTGCTCTTGCAGGCGAGCACAGATTTCCTCGCAGCTCCTCTATGACAGACAGCCTCCGTGACCACTCACAACCCCATCCCATCCCTCCTCCTCCGCAAACTGCCCCTCCGCCGCCTCCTTACTACCTAGACACCGGTCCGCCCCCAGCTTTCTGCCCTCCTCCGCCTCCGTCGAGAACCCAGAGTCAGGGCCACGAGCCTGGAGGGCGATCCAGCTTCAAGCCGTCCTCCTTGGACCTGCCTTACGAGGCTGCACAGCGACAGGCCACACACCTCGAGAGGCAGAAGAAAGCTCGCTCAATGATCCTCCTGCAAGACTCTTCCCATCTACCTGTAGAGCCAACGGAAATCCCCCGACCCTCTGCTGCGACTCCTCCCGAGCGAATCAAAAGGAAGGGGAGAGTTATCGACAACCCTTACGCAAATGTGGGTCAGTTTAGCATTGGACTGTACACACCCACAAAACCCCAAAGAAAGAAGAGTCCCCTGGTGAAACAGCTACAGGTAGTTTGAATGTCAGGGATAATTTCTACGTTTTTAAAACTTTTTATATTTACCTTACTCCAAAAGAAACTTTGACTTTGACCTTTCCTTTTGTCTCTCCATTGCAGGTAGAAGATGCACAAGAAAAAGCTAGTTTGGCCTTAGCTGCTGCCCACTCGCGAGACAGCTCACCCTCAGGACGATTCCCACATACCCACGGGCACACTCACACCAGTCGTGTAGACTACTACCAGCAGCAGCTTATGGCTGAGCGAGAACGCTTGCGTGCCCAAGGAGAGATCCTCTTTCAAGGTAAAGGCCCCTTTGCTGCTGCGATAGCCGGAGCAGTGAAAGACCGTGAGCGTCGTCTAGAAGAGCGAAGAAAATCCACTGTCTTCCTTTCTGTTGGGACCATGGAGGGCTCATCCCCAACAAGCCCGGATGCCCCCTCTTTGACTCAGTCTCACTCTGTTGATGAACGTATGCTAACCCGAGAGCTGGGACAGCTTCCTCCCCCTGCCTTGTCTCTGAGCCCCTCACCTAGTGGAACCACCTTTATCCACCCACTTACAGGAAAGCCTCTGGACCCAAACTCACCACTGGCTCTTGCGCTGGCCGCAAGGGAGAGAGCGCTGACCTCTCAGAGTCAGTCCCCAACTAGCAGCCCAGAGCCTCGGACTAAACAAGAGCGAATAGGCCAGGGTGTAATGTTCGCTGACACTCAGACCAAAGAGTCTCCACATGGGGATGGGGTAACAGCATCCCCCCCTTTTTCACCTAAAAGCGCCAAGGCAGCAGGGTACGAAGCTCGATCCTCCCCAGCATCGATTTTAGCGCCTCAGTCTACCAAACCACAATGGGCTACATCATCCTCACCTATATCGTTCCGCCAAGAGATGGAAGCTAGAATAGAGGAGAGAAAAGAGGAAAAAAGACTAGAGGATAAAAAAAGCATGCTGATCAGCATTATGGATACATCGCAGCAGAAGACAGCAGGGCTGATCATGGTTCATGCTACCAGTAATGGTCAGGCTGTTGGAGTGACTTCAGAACCTGAAAAGACACCTGTGCCTGCATCCATGGATCCTAGCAAATCTCCGAGTCCACGGGCTAAATCACCTGTCCCCTCTGTGGCGCAGCCACAGACACAGCTCCACGTTCTGCCTCACGCTCAGCGTCCTGCCAGTCCGGCCCAAGAAAAGAGTCTGGCTCAGGGAAGCTCCGAGGAGGATGTGGATCAGTACGCAGTGGCTCTGCCACCTGCTATGCTGTCCTCCAGTGATGAGGAGACGAGAGAAGAGCTACGAAAGATCGGAGTTGTTCCTCCACCGGATGAGTTTGCAAACGGGTTGTTAGCACAGGGTCAGGGGAGAGCAGTGTCTCCTGCTATACTTGCCACCTCCCCTGTCACGCCGACGACATCAGCCCCACAAACCCCCTCAACCCCAACAACCTCGACTGTGACTACAACCCAGCTTCAACCACCACCCCCACCACCACCTCCATCCAGTGCAGCAACCGTCTCAGGGAAGCCCTCTGAACCTCTGGAGCCCCCACCGGTGGGTGAGTCTGGCTCAGCAGCTGATTCGGGTGTGGAGGAGGCTGACACACGCAGCTCCAGCGAGAGAGAGCGAGACTACCATCTCGAGACCACCAGCACTGTCTCCACGGTATCCAGCATGTCCACGTTGTCCTCAGAAAGTGGCGAACCAGCTGACACACACACCACACACACCTCCTACGCCGACGGTCAGACTTTTGTGCTTGATAAGCCACCAGTGCCTCCTAAGCCCCGGCTGAAGTCCCAAATAGGAGGCAGTAAAGGCCCCGTCACCTTCAGGGACCCTTTACTGAAGCAGAGCTCTGACAGTGAGCTGCTATCACAGCAACAAGCCGCTGCTCTGGCTGCTGCTGCGGCTGGAGGAGCGGGGCTCCCTGCAGGTGGTTCTGCTTCAGTGACTGGTCTAGCCCCATCCAGGCCGCGCTATCTCTTCCAGCGGAGGTCCAAGTTGTGGGGGGACCTCGTCGAGCCCCGAGGACCAGGGATCGGCTTGGGTATAGGGAGTTTGGGTAATCTTGGTGGGCTGGGACTTGGGTTGGGTGCAGATGAGGGTGCAAAACCATCTGTTATGGGTGAGCTCAGTTCACGACTACAGCAGCTAAGCAAAGACACCAGGTCACTGGGTGAAGAACCCCTGGGAGCCTCACTTGACCCGGGAAGAAAGTCACCTGTGGCAGGTGCCAGGTAAGAGGATATCTAGCACGCATTTCTGGTAAATGTTGTCTAACTGAAATTGAAGACTAGTCAAAGTAATGTTAGGTTTTATTTAGGGCTGGGCGGTATGACCTCAAATTCATATCATGTTATAAATTGAACTCCTTCATGTTAACGGTATATGTCACGGTAGAATTTTTTTATAAAAAGTTAAGATAATGTAATTTTTAGAGCATTTTTTGCAGAAAACTGTAATCTTAATTAAACCCAACATTTTTGCTTTAATATCTGCCTGCCAAACAATGAGCTTCTGCCTGCTAAACTTATCAGCTGCTGCTCTGCTGCGCGCTCATCTTCATCATCTTCATCATCAAAGCAGAAGCAGACTTTGCATTAGCAAGATGGATTTACAACTGAACGAACATTCATGTCTTTTTTTTCAAATAATCTCTGTGGGTAACAATACATAAAAAACATTTTTTCCCCGACAATTGGGTGTGAAAAACTACAGTTGTTAAAGCTTCGCTCTGCACGACGTGCAGCGGGAGTGAGGGAAGAAATGATCTCATGGCACGACGTAACTTTTTTGCAGCGGGAGGGGAAATTTTGAGGGTTTATTCTCTCAATACATGTTTTAAAACACTAGAATTTCTTCATTATATTTCAAACTCCTGCTCAGTTGTCTCTGCACTTGCAGCCCTGTTCACACAGGTGCGATGACGTAATGACGACAGGACGGTAGAGTATAAATTTCTACCACAGGCCAACTTCATACCGTTTCTACTGTCTACCGCATATACCGCGCAGCCCTAGTTTTATTAGTTGAGTTAAATTACACTTATCTATAGAAAAAAACATTAACTGAAGCTGCCGACTTAATTGAGTTGAGTACTTGCGTTATTTTTCCAAACATATTGTTTTTCCTTGTATACATGATTATCGTAGTAATTCTGTTGATGTGCTGTTTTTCCCAAGAAGAATTAGCAAGTTATTCTATAAGTGTTCTGCTTTGAAAAGTTATAGAGATTTATATGTGTTCAGCTATTCCTGTTTTTTAACTGCACACTTTAAAGCATCAGTATACTGGACATCATTTTAACCACGAGTCCTAACTAAGACATAAAAAAGGTTTCACGCAGCAGCAGCAGGGTTATCTGAAACATCTGAGTCACAGTGGTGTTTTTGTCTGTTATCTCTGAGCTTCTTTTTCTACAAGATACCTGAAAGTTCAATGAATTCCTCTATATTTCTGCAGATGTGAGGATACCGAAGACACTAAACCTTAAAGTTATAAACCCTAGGGTAAACCAAGTCTATTTTTTTAAATATACCTTTCATAATAACTCTATGATCTAAGCACAATTAAAAGTGAAAACCCCTTTTTTATTTTGTTTCATGTGTTTTCCTTGAAACATTTGTTACCTTGTTTGCAAACCAGTTTCTGCAAGATGAATGAAAGTATTGGTTGTAGAGATACAGTAGCTTTTTACAGTTTGATAGGTCTGGTCTTAGGATGAAACTGCTCCTTGTTTCCATAGTTACTGTTACATCCCTTGGCCTCCCCATGACTATACTCTTTGTTAACTGTAAGCAGAGACTGTCAATAAGTTATACTGTCCAACTTTTGTTTTGTACGTGTATGTGTGTGTGTAGTTTTGTGAGTCTGGGTTCAGTTGATTAACCACTGGTGCAAACAAGGTAACAGAGCTTGAGATATGCACTATGTGAAAGACTTTCCTCATCTCTTACACACTGTCATGTTTGAGTTATAACCTTTGTTCCTGCTAATATCTTTCCTTTTCTGCGTTTCCCTGGGTCCTCGTTCAAATATCACACAATACATCCTTTTAACTGCTGCCTTTGCGATCATCACTGATGTGAACTTGATAAGACCTGAAACGGCAGTGTTCTTATCTCCATCCATTGTAAAAAAAAATGTGATGATGTCAAAGATTTAAAGGATGTATTTTTAAGAAGAATTTGAACAGGACTGAACCATAATGGTGTGCTATGTTACAACTGCCCTTCTAGGATCTTTGCATTAACAGCCTTGTTAATGACAAAAGTACTGAATGAGACAAAATCCATAACACTTTGTGGCATGAAAATCCTGTCAAATAAATGCTGGGACTTTGTCTTTTGATTTCAGGATTTACTTTAGTTGTACAACCACCTCCTTTCCCTGTTTTATATATATAT